TAGTGAAGAACGGGGTCACTGAGGGCAGCTTGCAAAGCAAATTGCCACTGATTCTATTACTTGACCACTAACTGCTTGATGGAAGTGTTCGGTTTTTTATTGGATATGGAAGATGCACAGAAATTGTAAACTGACAACAGCCAGATGCATGTCTCGAGCTAGGCGGAGCGAGACATGCATCTGGCTGTTGTCAGGTTACAGAAATTGCACATTACATTTGCCTCTGTAAACATGGCTTTTGGTTACACTGTGTCAACAAGTCAGACTTCTTTTGCTTTCAACTTTTTGAACAATTTCTGATTGGCCATTAGAGTGAAAGTAACATCCCTTTTAAGTAGAATACAGTTAAGATTTTGTCAGACATGCATACCAGCTCTAATGGGAACATGAAAACATACCTGACTAGGACAAAATGTGACCAAAGAAACAAAATGTAAACGTGGTATTGCAACTGTTTAAAAATAAAAGTGAAAAATTGGCAAATTTCATGCAGGATGTTTTTCTCTCTAAAATAAATTAGATTTAAGTATGAAAGTGAAAGGCACGGTACAGATCACACCTTATAGGGACTAATTATTGTCACCCAGGTTTCTTGAATTCATATTTAACAAAAAGGAAAATTTACTTGTAAATGTTTTACTATTTTAAATCAAGTAATAGCACATATGAAACTCATTAATGTAGAAGTCATGTAGAATAAAAAAAAAAGTGTAATTCTATGTGGTAGATTAATATAGCATTTCACACAAATTTCTATTTCCAAAGTACTTAATAAACTTAGTATTTAAAAGTTTTATTTTAAAGGTTCCCATAAATATTAAAAGATATAAAGTAAAAACAGATTTCTAAATATTTTCTATTTAATGTATCTAAATTTTTTTTTAAAATAACAACTGGTTTTATATTCTTAGATGCTTCAGCAGTTTCACTGAAACATTAACAATTTGGGCATAATTTTAAGTGTCAGGAATTGGTTGAGGTTTTGAGGACCCACATGCAGAGGCAGGGAGGCAGTTTCTTGTAGTTTTAATGGAGTGTTCACAGGTAACAGAGACAGGAATCCAAAAATCCAACTTAAAAATGCAAGACAAACCAGAACCATGGAGACATCAGGGAACACTTGCACTAGGAGCCGGTGAAAGTTGAGGAACTGCACAGGGAGAGTGTTTATGGCTGACTAAACAAAGACAGGATCTGAGCTGATTGGGAGCACGTGTGAACAGAGGCTCCTAGAAAGGAGCTAGGGAAAAGGGGACCAAATCAAGAGGACAACAAATAAAAACCAAAGAACTCAAATACATCCAGAAAACACCACAAAACAGGAATTAAACCGATAAAACTAGAAAACAAGGAAAGACATGAATCAATGTGAAAAATGAAAAATCAAACAAAAAAATTAACAGAACCAAGACCATGACATTAAGAATTTTCTATTAAGAAAAATTAAATTATGTCAATATATCTTTTATACTTCAAAATTTATCACAAATACA